TCGACCTTATTGAAATTTATAATGGACGCAAATGTGAACGACAAGAGTGCTATTTGTAACCTGGATAGCTTTGATGCTGTGCTTTACCTGGAGTGTTTAAATGTGGGATTCAGTTCGCTCAGTGAGTTGTTCGGTCTCCTGCTGCCTCGGACCTCTTCGAAGTACCAGCCTCAAGAATTCCAACAACACATGTTTTCTCTACGGATTCTGCTGTTACTGGATGACATCGAGAGCCTTGACACGAGATCCTTCGGGGTTTTGGAAGAATTTTTCAGGCTGATGTCACCCGAGACGCGCATCGTAGCCACGGCCTCCAGGGAGAAGGCGAAGGAAATCCAGAAGAGAATTGTTACTCAGCACAAGAGGGTTTTGTTTCTCGAAGTGGAAGGAATACCTGACGATCAGACAGTGCAGCACGTATGGAAGATCATGCAGCATGGCATTAGGAACGCAAGCATCGACGAGGAATGTGGCAATAAGCTCTACAATCTGATCACAGCCAAGCGGCCATGTTTGCAGGATCACCTTAGGTCTCCCGAAGTCCTCAATGCCCTGGCCATCTGCTGGGCCTTTTATCCAGAGCGCATCAATAACTCAACCACTGTAACGGAAATCTTCATCCTCATACAGGAGCTAATCAGTCAAAAGGTCTTGCAGAACATAACACGTTCGCTCCTGCCTGGGATGATCACGAAAGCCATCGTCAGGTCAAAGTTGAGTAATTTTCTCGAAACCCTGAGTCGGGTCGCGGCCAAGAGTTTGGTCAAAGGGTATAACGTCATCGAACAGAAGGACTTGTTGACGCTGATCAAGAAATGCCGGAAATTGGAGCTTAGAGGAGGAGTCTCTGATATCCGCCTTCCTGAACTACACTCACGAGCAAGGAAGCAACATCCTGACCTGCCCGAGGAACGTTTTCTTTGCGCAGCGCTCGACCATGCAGTACTACGCAGCCAACTTTCTCTGCTGGCGATGTGTTAAGCGCCAGACAGCTATTCGTGATCTGTTGCGTCTACAAGCCAAAGAAATCGGCGATGCCATTGGACCCAACCTACAAGCGATGGTAAAATATTTACTGGGTTTGTTAGCAGTGCACATGCCGGAGAGGCTGAAGGAGAGGGCCGCTGAAATTGTTTCTTTGCTGAAGGATGCCGGAGTGGACAAGACGTCGCAGTGGCTTCAGTACATCGACGAGGCCAAAGAGGAACCAACGATAACAAGGGAGATTTTAAAGCAGATGGGCGACGAATGGAAGGTCGAGGACTTCGCTATCTCGTCAACTCTCGTTAATATCTTGAAAATCAAACCACCGCGTCGCATCACCGTCACTGTGTGCGAGACTGCCACAAACTTCCCTCACTTGCGGGAAGTCCTCCAAATATGCTCGGAGACTCCCAACTTAACCCTCTCCCTTCACCTCTATCAGCACTTCTGGTCAGAAAAGTCAGAAACATCAGACGAATACCTGGATATTATCGTCGGAAAATCCTGTTACCTGGAGCACTTCGCAGGGCGTTTGAGTGCCGAGGCCTTACTCCGCCTCCCCGCCTCCCTCCAACGCCTGGCGCTTCACGTGACTCCGGACATGATCCAGCCTCTTAACCAAACCCTCGAAAGGATGTCAGACTTGGGTTTACTTTACTTGAACCTCGATGCCTCCCCCGATACACCACCCAGCGAAATCCTTCCTCTGAGAATCCCCAGTGAGGATACGCAACTCGTCGTGGACATGTGGAGGGTGAAAGAATCGAGTACCGAGTGGGCTTGTCAAGTGGCGCGCGCCCTCAGCTCCTCGTACAAGCGGCTGGTCCTTCGAAGCAGCGAATTGGACTTCGAAGGATGTCAGGAATGGTTGGAGGGACTTCGGCAGCGGGGCGTGAAGGGGTCGGAAATCGTGGTCGGCTCAACTCACGCCATGGCAGACGATGGGATTGAACAGTTGCAACAAATAGCGTGCGGAGTCGAATGTTCAAAGTTTGTGTGGTTGAAAGTGTAACTGTACTTACTGTGTTCATTGTATGTTTTATATGTATTCATCGTTTATAGAACTTTTATTCTATTTTATTTGTCTAGTCTACCATTGCAATTAATATATTAATGTTTTATTTATATTATGTGTAAATAGATATATGTACGAGTTTAGATTTTATATATATATATTAGTTGTAAATAGATTTTTATATCGAAAATAAATCTGATACATGAAATTTTGTTTAATTTCTCAGGTACTGAGTTTTTAACAATGTGTAAACGAAACGGTTTACAGTAATTAAAAAGGAATTAATGGAAAATAATTGACTACAGAAGAGGTATTGAATGATTTATCATGATACATGCTAAAGTTATTAAAACCTGACTTGGTGAAAATGCAAATTCGTTATCAAGGCTATGGCATTGCAACGCAAATAAATACCCTATGTTCATTTTTATTTCAAAATGCGAAAAAATGCTACTACTTTCCAAACAAAGCAGTTCATGATCTGAAAGTACAGATATAAAGCACATTTGATAACCATAGTGATATTGAATATTGATCAATAACAATTACTTGTAATGTGTAAAAGAGCCACATTTCTTTCACTCTGAATTCGATCAAATAAACCGTTTCAGCAAAGCACCGTTTCAGAGGTCCTTAAACGAGTCCTCCCGGGCCGCCAACTGCATTAACTGGTAATTTGCAACTTCCTAGTCTGGATATGCAACCGCGTTGACGATGCATGCTAGTTTTATCATAGGCACGTCGACTGCCTTCACTGCTTAAAGTCACTATATATACATTCCGTACATTTTGGTTCGAGTGGGTTTGGTTTTATGAATGCCAGTGTGCGTGTGCATTAGGTGAGTGTGTGTAAGTTAGGTGAGCTTTGTTTTCGTGTTGCATGCGACTATTCACTCCAATATGAGCAGCTCACGGATGCCGCTTTAGCTGGGAGATACATGGTCAGCATATAATTCCACTCGTAACATACGAAAATGAATCGTATTTTACTGCGCCTCGCTATGGAATATTGGTACAACTTTTCATTATAGCAGTCGCTTTTTCTCAAGATTCAAAGTGGCTGACGTCTAGACCGATTATTCATCAGCAAAATATCGCCGGCGGGAAATCAATGTGCATTTTTCCTCTCAGCATTTTATTTGGTATATTTACTCGGTTTAAAATCAGGTTCTACATACTTTTTGGTGTTCAGGATATTCATTTTTTGTATAATCTTAATTAAATCTCAAAAGCAAATGAATACTTGGTATATTCGAAGTAGGAACACTTCCAAATCAATTCTTCGAGCAAATTTCTTTTTTATTACTATTTCACTTTTATCATACTATACAAAACTTAAGGATTTATTTTCCATCTTTCAACAAGGGAGGAGTTCCATGTCTATCCTCCACGTATGTGTATAAAAAAAAAGGCCAGATGAAAGAAAACGAGACATTTTAATGAACAACTTTTATTTTTCCGATCCCTTCAAAACAAACATATCCTGTGCCCAACTTGCATGTTCGAGTCAAAAAAAACAACTCTTGACGGATTATCAGACAAGCCTTATAATTTTTTTTTTACTTCTTTTGTAAAACCTCAAATATAAATCAGCTGATATGTGAGAAACATGATCCTAAGTAATGTTATTCAACATGATATGCTAAGGAATTAAATAACAAATTAAAAAAAACGGGCCGTGAGAGATCAGGCGAAAGAGGGGAGTGAGAAAAGGGAGGAAGAGGGGGAGAGAGAGAGAGAGAGAGAGAAACTGGAGGGAGAGGGGGGAGAGAGAGAGAGAGAAACTGGAGGGAGAGGGGGGGGGGGGAGGATACAACATTTTGGAAAATATATAGATTAAATATATATATATATTATCTGGAATGATATATGTCGTTTACTAAGATATGGTTACCGTTTTACTTTCCTGGTGGAATATTAATAACAGGATATGGCATGTAAGGGAGTTTGTTGACGAGAGGGGGGAGGAGAAGGGGAGGTAGGGGGGGGAGCCCCAGGAGGGAGGTCCTGCAGCCACGCCCCCACCTCTTGGCCTTCGCCTGTGGTTACGACGAGAAGATTCATGAAAACCCTAAACCAGCAATACATCCTCACTATAAAGGAGAAGAGGGGAAAATGGGGATGAGGAGAGGGGGTGGGAGGGTGGGGGGGAGATCGTATCAACTTTGGGGAAAACTGCCAATTCTTTTTTTTTTTTTTTTAAAGAATAAAAATAAGAAAATAAAGAGAGAATCCCGAGTTATCATCATCATTTTTTTTAATGATCCCCTCCTCATTCCCCACAAAAAAAAAAAAAAAAAAAAATCAGATTAACATCTAAATCATAAGGAAGACGAAAACAAAAACAAAAATCTATCACAAAACTACATCCTTAACCCCCACAACCACAAGAACTAATGGGGTTATATGTGTACTGAACAACTCAATTTCCTCTTCTTTTTTGCATGCAGCCAATACTCTTAAAAGAAAAGTCTTACAAGATAAAAAGTCTTGTGCCTTATGCGACAAATAAATTATAATGGGTACAATAGATTCGTTTCAGATGATAGTGCATCTTACCTCCAACATTCTGCAAGAGTCAATTACAATCTAAATAGTAAACCTTCAATTCTCAGTTTGTACTGATTTTCTCCTCTCATAAGATCTGAAGTCAATATCTGAAGTAAATAGAGTAAGTACAACTTATTCATCATAAAAAAAGAGTAAGCAACCACATTCACAAGTTCACTCAGTGACTTACCCCTTCCCTTAGCTGAGTAATGGTAAGGGGGTATAATTTGTACATCCAAGTCCATATTAACTGCCCACAAGGTAATTACACTATTGCAATATTGAGAACAAACTTCGAAACTTTTTTTTTTAATAAATAATTTCTCCTGGAAAAATCCAGCTTTACAAGTTCAAGCTATGAGTAACAATATAATTGGGGCTTACAACCTCAAACAATATAGTTCTTTTCGTTTTTTTTTTTTCTCCTTTTATTAACACACCGTGGACCAAAATCAAAATACAGTCTCTAAATATGAGGTGCTTAGCTGTAGGTACTTAAAACAAAATAACTTGGGGAAACTCAAATAAACTTTTCCCTACTCTATGTGATATCATTTGGCTGCGATATGGTACAATAGTGGCAGGATATGTGAGCGCAGGGGCACAGGACATGTTGCTAATGCACGTCTCAACTGAGGACCAAACCTGAAGTCATGATGGCGCTACTTATTGGCTGGACCGACGGCTTTTGTTCGCTGTTACAATACCTCATCAACTAGTTAACTCTCTACTGTATGAAAATAACCCATTACCAAAGTGCTTGCGAGAAGTTTTCCTTCACAGAACGCCCTTCCACCTCTGCAACAGTCTATTCAAGACATGCACATACTAGGGATCCTGTGAACAAATACCTGGATAGTACTAGGGACAAGGGCTTGCAACTCTAAGACTTCATACACAAAGCTAGCTCTTACATTCCGAATTTTCCAGCTTTAGAGGTGATAACTAATTTAATAAACAATCAGATCAGGCCATGCTATCAAGGTACTGTAAATGATCTTGTCTTCAGATTCTCAGTGCTCCACATTAGCACCATCATTAATCCTTGTTTGAGATCAGAGTTGAGGATACTTGCGCAGTTGCTCATTTCTCGGCACACACACACAGAGTAAAGTAAATGAGCAGTGTATAAATAAATTATGCAATCCATGTCTTCCCAATCTTTTTTTTCTTTTTTTATAGGAATGTTACAAATCAAATCAAAGAGGGTCCTAATACAAAGAAGTTAGCCGTGTGGGACGCCTACCATTTAAATGCCACATCTGTATCTCATTAATCAAAAGAGGGAAAAAGGAAGCCCTTTCACGCTACAATTCAAGGTCATTTACGTCACAACATCTGTAATCTAAAGAAAACTTGCAACTCTATACTCACCAATCAAGAGTAATGCATGTGCCACACGTTTAGTCAAAGAAAATGATAATGCTTTCATTACTACGCCACCGCTGCAGTGGAAACCCATGTGGTCGAGGGCACTACTAGGTGGAGGTGGAAAGTGGTCACTAAGCTGATTGTTCCCACCTCCACCTGTGCCCCTCCACATATAAATAAATAAATGAAAAAAGAAAATAATTAAAAAACAAAAACTTTTAAAAAAACATGCTCACTTTCAAATGACATTCACATTCAACCATCAACATTTTTAAGATTTGGATGAGGATTATTTCATTTCTCTGAACTGAGAGATTCTAGTTAAAAAGGGAATCTGCACTTAATTTCAGATAAAAAAATAAAGTGCATTTTAGAAGAAACTAATTTCCCTGTTGTCTCGTCATCACCCTAGGATGATTTCAAAACATTCAGTTAATGCTCCATTATTAAGTACCTCACATACACAAACAAACCTCAGGTATATCTATTCTAATGTTTGTTACTTGCGAGTAATGACCTTCAGAAATGTAACGTAAAGCCATTCAGAATGCTAAACTATCATGTGCTGAGTATGGTTTTGCATGTTTTCATATAAAACAACTTTTTTTTTAAAGTAAAGAGAAACTTTACACATGTCATATATAAAATTGGGACACAAAAATGGGGTTTTCCTCCTTCTGCAATATTTACAAGTAAATATTCTACACATAAAAAGAGTTTGCGAATCTATGGACCCCCTCTGATCTCCTAACTAAATTAAAGTATTCCAACCAATGCATACAGGAAGAAAAGGTGATAATTACATGCCTGTTTTAATTAGGTATTCCATTGCATTATTTATCATGAACACAGTATCTTTATTAATAAACCTCCTGGCCTTTCTGTGAAAATGACATAATATTGGTCTACATGTACTATGATTTGGACAAGTTAATGCATGAAAAAAATAAATACTTTTTCACATTCATTAATTCATTTATTCTGTTTAATAATGCCTCGTTTTACTGGAATTGCGAAGAAAAAAGGATTTTTGTCTCCATAATCAAAAGCCAGGAAGCCTTTTAAAAACTTGTTTTGAGAACCCCCCCCTAAAAAAAATAAAAAAGGAAAGTGTCAACATGTTCTTTTTCATCAGTGGCTAAAAAGTGTTATCATGGCCAAGAAAATGTGTGAAAAAGGACAATGGATATGAAACATTTAACCATGGATTACAACAACTATTCAAAGACCAGCAAATCAACTAAAAAGCCAATTCTCATTCTTCGTATTTTTTTCCCCTCTCCATCTGACTTCATACACACAACAGCAATTAAAACCTACATAATGTTATCTATACTTCTAAGGAGTGCACAAGAAGCAAAAACAATGAAAAATACCCCTCTGAAAATTAAAAGTAATGATATGTTTGCCAAACCCCAGCTCTTTCACTAACACAATGTCTACAAGTGTTCCTTATTGCTCCACAGTAACTCCAATAGTACAAAGGCTGACACACATGGTGAAAAATTATGAACAAATTTCCGACCTCAATCTGTAAATTTCTCAAAAACTAAACAAATTCATAGATCATAAAAGTTATTTTTTTAATTGGTCTTCCTCAATTTAACACTACAAATGCCTAATCATGCTCCTATCAAGGCAAAAATTCTTGAAAGGAAGAAGTGTTTTAAGATTTCTCAAGTAGCAGACTCCAATGACATTGACTGCCAGCCATCATGTAAATAACTCCCAGTGGACAATGTCATCAAATATAAATACATATATATATATATGTATACATACATGCAAACATCCATAAAACACACCCAAACACAGTTATAGGTCTCTTATAAAGCATTCACCAACAGATGTGTTCACTCATATTCAAAACATGTATATATATAAATATATATTACAAATTTCAAACTATAGCTTGAGGGTGTGGTGGGGCCTTCCTACAAGAAGCGACGAGAAAATAATGGCAATGCAATAACAGTCTACTGTGATTACCAGAATACTGGATGTCTCTTATCATTCATTTTTTGGTCTTTTTACTTTTATCCTTTTTAACAGCTTTGCTGTCAAATTAGAAAAAGAAAGAAAAAAAAAAAAATCAAAAATTCTATCATTTACCAGTAATCAATAAATTGGTATCGCATTAAGACATGCTACTGCTAAGTGTGTATATATATATATATAAAATGAAAAAAAGAAATATAATGAAATCTGTTACATCAGCTACATCTAGGCTCCATTAAGGTAATCAAGCAATGACTTGTATGCTCCATAACCACAATTCAAACATCAAATATGCAATCTAAGGAAAGCAAGTCAATCCGTAAATTTTCAACTGATTCTGAAAGTGTCATCTTTTAAAAGTGCCACAATAGCTGTGTTACATTAATCACACACAATTTGTGTTTCACCCACATTTTTTTCCTTAAATCTAGTTAAATGCTATTCTACTGTTAATGCCTAGATCAAATAGAAAAACGAAAAATACTGTGTTACAATTCTGTGAAAAAGTACTGTATATCTGCATCCTACATCATTTCAATCTTTGGTTACATCCAAATTATTTAAGAAATAAAATAAAAAACTGCAGAACTCCAACTTTCCCCTTGGTGAAAAAGTAGTGCCCAAATGCGGCACGAAGACCAACTGTCCTAGAGAGAAACGCACAACATATATAAACATTCACAAGCCCACAGATATCAGATGCCTAAAAACTACATTCTTTTTCTTTTTAAATTAAGGGAAGAGAGTAAATTGGCAAGGGGTCATTCACAAATGTCTCGACTTTTTGTGTGTATCAAAAGTCAGACGATGGGCATACTGTTATGTATATACGGACTCTTTTACAGTGCTACAATCTCTATGACTACTATTGCATAGAGCCTGGAAGAAATTGAACTCACCTTCTAAATTATCAGGGCATCAGGGTCTGGGTTACCCATTCTAAATGCTCGACTAATGCACACTAATAGCATTGAAGCAGGTGCAAGGTGCATCTCAAGGAGGCTGTTAACAGCTCACAAATGCAGTGCAGTAAACTATGTCACAACATAAGAATTATTGTCACTGCAAAAACTAATGAAAAAAAAAAAAAAAAAAATCTTTACTGACAAACCTAATGCAATCCCACTATAAATTCTTTTATACATTAAGCCAATAAACCACAGAATTAATTAACCTTGCAATAGCTATATGAACACGATAATGCACCACTGGACAAATGCACTAAGCGGATATTTAACAATAAAGAGGTTATTACAAAGTGGGCAACCCGGAGAACACCCATGACACCTGGACGAAATAGTTAATTGAACACTGCAAGGACACGCTACTGGATCTTCAGTGGACGTGATGCTACTGATACACAAAAACAGATCAAGCATTCCCGGGTCACAGTTGGCCGTTTTGTGCTTTAAAATCCATACAAAGAAGGACCTCTATTTTATTCCCCTTTAAATTATGGTACCAAAATGCAAGTATCTACTACAAAAAGAATTAGACTTTGTGGAAAGAATTGCTAAATAATTGTGCTTTGCACAATTTTCTTTTTATTAGATAAAAAAGACTACAATAAGAAAATGCACTATATTCAGGGGGGAAAGAAAGAAGAAGAGGGAAAAAAAGGGGAAAAAAAAAAAAAAAAAAAAAAAAGTTACATGACAAGGTTTACATCCCAACATCAAAACCTAATGCAATCCCACTATAAATTCTTTTATACATTAAGCCAATAAACCACAGAATTAATTAACCTTGCAATAGCTATATGAACACGATAATGCACCACTGGACAAATGCACTAAGCGGATATTTAACAATAAAGAGGTTATTACAAAGTGGGCAACCCGGAGAACACCCATGACACCTGGACGAAATAGTTAATTGAACACTGCAAGGACACGCTACTGGATCTTCAGTGGACGTGATGCTACTGATACACAAAAACAGATCAAGCATTCCCGGGTCACAGTTGGCCGTTTTGTGCTTTAAAATCCATACAAAGAAGGACCTCTATTTTATTCCCCTTTAAATTATGGTACCAAAATGCAAGTATCTACTACAAAAAGAATTAGACTTTGTGGAAAGAATTGCTAAATAATTGTGCTTTGCACAATTTTCTTTTTATTACATAAAAAAGACTACAATAAGAAAATGCACTATATTCAGGGGGGAAAGAAAGAAGAAAAAAAAAAAAAAAAAAAAAAAAAAAAAAGGAAAGGAAAAAACAGCCAACTGGACCAAGCCAAAGCCTTATCAGTGGAATTAAATTCCTGGAACTCACCATGACTTGAACTAAGCATTTTATTGCAATCTTTTCGTGATGATGGAGAAATAGTAATAGTAAAGCTAAAAATCCATGGGCAAGAATAGTTAATTACCCTGCAAAAAGTAAAAGTCATAAATAAATAATTTCGTGCAGGTCTTTGTGTAATTCATTGCCTCTAAAATGCCTAATCTTAAGGAGTTTCTCTGCTGGACCCTTTACCTCTTCTAGTGAGAGCAGTTAGTAACAGTAGGAGGGAGAGGGGGAAATCAAATATAAATATCTCTACCCTGGGGTTTGGTAACTACATTCGGGAAGACTGGAGCTCCGTGAAGGGTCTCGGAGTAGTGCAGTTGCCTCTGAGCGTTGTCATACTAGAATGTAGCTGCACCATCTGCCACGTGCTATTATCACATGAGCTATAAATTACTATTATATGGCACCCAAGCCCAGGCTGCTCTTTTTGAAAGTAAGTGAATTTGTTACACAAAAAATGAACTAAAACATGCTCAGTTACTATTCTTGTCTTGGAAGCAATCGTATGTATTCTACGATGAGTACCACTGCGAAGTCTGCAGAAATCTGCAGGTCTGATTTCTAGACCAATTTTTCTGAACACCATCGGGATTATCCCAGGTGATATAATTTTGTTCTTCATTTTCTTCTTGTTTGCTACCTAAACTGTCACCCAAATAAAACTACCCCGTTGTAGATGATTGCTAAGTATTCCCATCCATTCTATGGCAAACAGTGATATTCAAAAGTTGTGGTCTTAGACTAGGAAATCCATGTGCTTATGATATGGATGGGGCATGCCTTGTACTCTACACTCACACTTGCATTGTATGGTAGTACTTGTATCTATATGTACATCACCGAGTAATGATAGCTTTGCTGATAACACAATAATTAACCATTTTTTAACATTGGACAATGTTCCACAGACCTAATATTCTATGAACTTTATGCAAGTGCAATGCCCCTTCCAGTTATATACACATGAGTTCAAGGGTTATTAAACCCTTTACATATCTAAAAAATAATAATAAAGAAAATAAAAATAAAAATAAAAACATTAATGGCAGTAAAAAATATGACTGCAGGAGCCTTAAACCTTAATTCATTAAAACCCCATGTCGCTGTGGCTTTGGATTTCCCGGCATTATCCATACAACACCTACATGCACTCTGGTCAGTAGTCATGAAGTATAAAATGTACACTTTTTGACAAAATAAACAATTGAAAACTTTTTTTTTTTAAATCATACTAATCATTCATAATATTATGTACAATACCAATGACGAAGAATGAGCAGGAATCCATAAATATCAGCATTCCACTAACAAAGCCCCATCACTACTCACCAGACTGCATATATTAGTGATCAAAATTATGACTCGTTAAAGAGTTGTGCACCACACAAGTGCATTCCATACAAAATACACCAGTACACTTAAAAATTCAATGTTACTTGATGTAATGAAAATGCAAGCTTAATGCTGCTGTCACAGAAGTTATCCCCATGCTTTGGAGCATGCACAAAGACATGAACCTACCATGCACTGACTCAGCATGCAACAAACGCATGTGGTACACAAGCCAACATCTATGGGAGGCATGAGGTACATTTCAGCAGGTACATGATTCCATCTTCCTTAAACATTCAACGTGTGACCATTTTAATGGTTCTACAGAGAATGGTAAATTTCACAGATCGTGCTCAGGGTGAAATTATGAACTGAATTCACCCTAAAATAATATTGTGAATAAATAAATGAAATAAATGTAATTCAGTTGTTGGCTTCCAAAATATATCAGATGGTGAGCCCCACAAAGTGGAAATCTTAAAATTTAAAGCTAATAATCAAGTTCAAATTCATACGACACCACTAATAGAAAATCCCATTATGATCAATATTTACACACACACATTATATCATGTGCAATTAATTTGGGCCATTTTCAAATAAAAATTTCTTTTTTTATCATACCATTAAAAACAAAATATAAAATCTGTGAAAGTTCCAAACCAGTCAAAGAAAAAAAAAATAAATAAAAAAAAAATAAAAGTCAGCTTAAAATGGTCATCTATCATTTAAAATTAACCACAATAAAGAGGATCCATCGACGAGTTCTTCTGCAAACGAGCCCACTTTTAAGACCAGACTCTACTTCTTGCATGACGATCTTGTGAACCTTGAGGCGGACTAGGTAAGGAGAGATGTTAAGCAAAGTACATGACTCTGTTTGTGTCGACATGCACTGTAACTGCCCTTGCCATGGCAGATGGTGTGCGATCCTCACTGTTGCCAGATTGGTGTGACCCCTCTCCACTGGAATCAAAAGGATCACCATTAGAAAAATGCAAGCAAGAAAATAACTAAGAAGGGAAAGAGAAAAAAAGAATATACAAGAAGCAGGAAGAAAAAGACACTGGATAACAAACATTCATTTAAAAAGAGTGCATTGATATTAGGTATTTTGGCTATAGAACACAAACACATGGTATAAGAGAGAAAGAACTGGAATATGACACCCACCTGTCATGCTCCTTTTCGACGAGATGATAACGAGCCCTGAAGGCTACCAAGTGAGCATAATAGGCTGGAGCAGGTATGGAGACTGATCGTGTACATCTTACATAGGTATGACACAACTGGTAAGTCAGGCACTGCAGCTCATCACTGTCAAAGTGGTTATCATCCCACAGTACATGGTAGTGACTGGGACGACTTGTGCCCTGAAAGAACAATCACCACTTTGTTTGCATATGATCATTTAAAGCCCTAAAATATTGAATATTAAGGTGATATTATGCAATAATACAAAAGGATATTGTACAGGCAAAGAATTTCTACCATTTTGCAAATCTATCAGAATTATCATTCCACATGGGATACTATAAAGTAATATGCAAATCAGCTACATCAAAATGAACCAAAAAGCTTCAAAATCTACACACCTGGATACCCTGATGAGAGCAGAGGTAGAAGTCAAACTCAGTTGGATGCGTGATGCCCACATCAACGGTTGTACCTGCAGGAATATTACCACTCTTGCCACTCTGTTCCTTCTTGTCAGAACAGAACAATCTGAAAGAAATTTACTCCTTTAACGCTTGATAACTTTGCAACAAATAACCGGAACACAAAATATCCGAGTTCCTATATGTTGCAACCATCATGGGGTCTCAACTATGAAAAACAATGACTTCAGCTCTGTACTACATAATCACTCTCACAATCAGTGAATTCTTAGCACTGTTGCCAAACGAGCTTACCTCGTATGATGTCTCTTCTGCACAGCAATGTACGTGATACCAGGCTTGTAGTCCGCTTCCAACTTTATGCAAGCCTCTCTCATGGCAGTCAGCTCATGCTGGAGCACGGTCTGGAATTGGCCCTCGCTCACACCATCCCGATAAAGGATGATCCTGTTGGGCTTGAACCGCGTAGACTTGTAGAACTGGATGAGCAGCTCCTTCACCATAGAAGAGAGCTCCTGGATCACCTCCTGTTATTTGGAAAGTACAATTAATGATGGGTCAACCTCCAACAACAACATATGCTTCTCCACAACAAGCACAGGAGTCACAAATCCCTGTCATGGTTTTAAGGAGATGAAATTACAGGATTTCATTATCGTCAGTTTTATTCTTTAATCCTAACTCAGTGTTAAAAATGGTTGATGAGATGTTTTAAAAAGGAGGAGGTGACTCAATTTAAGATATACTACACATGGCAAATCACTGAGGATGATGATATTCATTTATGAGACTCCCAGAGGAGAGGGAGAGTAAACACACAAAAAAACAGGGGAATACTCTGCCACCGCATTCAGTAAGGACAGTATCTGAGCCTACGCACTGGTCTGAGCAAGATAAGTACTTCCATTAAGCAACTGATAACACAGACTGGGAGGGGTCAAAGCTTGACTTGTGCTGTATTCTGGTTTTGCCAACAGGATATAAATTATCACTGACATTTACACATTACAAGTGCCACCAAGATCCATGTGATCTGCAATGTGAAAATAAATGGGAAACTCTTGAGAGGTAAAAATTATCATTTGTTACCAATGGTTCAAAAAAGGAAAAATACTTGCGTCATGTGCCGTCCTCGCGAAAGTCAGTTGTCTGGGTCGCGAGCCGTCACTGGCACTTTGGCCTTGTGTTGTTGATCCATTCTGTTAATGGCAAATTCAACGCTTATTGATTGTATTTGGTACTGACTGACTTTTTTTTCTTTTAATAGCAAAGATTTTATTTCCCACAAGTTAGGTATGTGCCACTCAACTTTTAACCTTAACATAAAATTAGTTGGGAATATGCCATGATTTGACAACACAAGGGGACTCAAGTACACATATCTTCACTGTCACCTCACAAAATTACAGCTGGACTGGCCGTTAACCCTCACAGGACCCACTCAAATGAGCAGCCTTTTGAGAAAATCCATCAAGACATTTATACTCAGAATCTCAATGAGCATTAAACCTTTAAGAACTATTGGTTTACTCATTCTTTCACTGAATAGCAATCCCCTCATCAGTAGCAAATTAATGCAAGGGACATCAAGGGAAAAGCTACAACAGGGAGGAGAGGAAGGCGTCATTTAAACCCTATTACCAAATACATCATAGCGAGAACATGAGGCTAATCTGTTACTGTACTATTTTCTTTTTTCTTATTTAATCTTCACTTCTGAATAATTCACTCTTTGCAATAGAAACATCATCACATTGCAAAAGTTGTATTCTTTTCTCTCTCTCTCATTTTTTTTCTCTTTCTTTGATTTTTTTTTTATTTTGTGTGGCTTTTTTTTTTTTCACTTAGTCCGCATTATCATTCACTAAACATAACTACCCACACATCACTTTGAAAAAAGGTTGTGTTGATTTGAGTCTATCACCAATCTTTCTTTCTTTCTCTTTTTGAAAAAGTTCAGTGAATGCTAGGAATGGCGCACGATGAAGAAAAATTCTCATCTACTTAAAAAAGGGAGCTTCATTTGGGAAATTTAGCAACACTTCTTTTTAAATCCCCAAACATCAAAAGACTGGGAAGATATGACTGAAATAGTCTGATGATAGTGCATGTGTAAAAGCAATGATAAAAAAATATTCCATTATATCCTCAATGTGGCAAATCCAGAAGACAGACACAATTCAACCCACCTTTATTTATATCAAAGACATACACACTCCTCACATTGCTATTCAAAACAAACTTTTTAGCTCCTTAAGGTTTCTCAAAGAAGGATAATACCTTTCCATCCCTTGTAACACAAATGGAGAGACTTTTAAGCATTTGAATGAGAAAAAAAACTCCTGATGATGCCTTCTAAGCGTATACTTGATCCAAAAAAAAAACTTACTGCAAAGCCCTTTTCCATCCACCTTTTCTGAAACATTACAATGAATGTGGAGCAAAATATTGATGTCCTTTATGTTCTTTGAACTCTTTCTAAATACAAAGATGATTCCATCTCTCAGGAATATTCTAACTACTTATGGAATGGAATGAAATGAAAAAGAGAGTTTGTTAATTCCATTTGGACTGAGTGAATGTTTTCCTTCAACAATCCTCTTGTTAGTATATCAACAGCTACTCCTTTCAAACCAAAAAAATATCATGCAAATTCTTCTTTCCTATAAATAAATAAATAAATAAGTAAATACATAAAAATAAATAAATATATAAATGGATAAATAAATAAACCCCTTTTCAAAACATTTACATCTACACTTCATAGGCTCACATCAGAAAGGAAGAGAAGGTTGAAAAAAAAAAAATCTTCCTGCCTTATGAACATATTCATTCTCACTCATACCTTTCTCAGTAACAATTTTACTTTTCAAAACCCTAGTCCCCACATCTAAGACAATTATGTAGCCAATGTCAGGTAAAGAACAGAAAATATATCAATATACATATACATAAATCAAAACTAAAATTACAAACAGCATAAACAATTAAAATTGGAGGTAATGAATGATGGCTTTGGATAAAATAATAAAGCCATCTTAAGACTGAACAAAAGAAATTTCTGGGTGTGCTGATCAATGTGATTACAGAAAATACTGCACGAAGAACAAGACTCATTTCTAACAAGTTGAAAAATAAAGTGAGAAGATATTTATAGGACACTTGTACTATATACCACTTCTAATGACTTGTCTGTCATACTTTCAATTTCTGACCAGGGTTTTCTTTTGTACTTGAAAAATGAGTAATGCACATGAAGATTGTCTCACAATCTAAAAATTGCAGCCATTTCTTTGGTTTTTTTTTCTGCCAGTACCTTGTATCAATCAAGTACAATTTAACTACAGAGCGACGCTCATATTTAGGATAAAATCCCTTTGCCCTCACCATACAACATACAAACAAATACATATATATATTTCTTGTATTGTATGTGCTGGTGTGTTCTGACTGTATCTTCATACCTATCACTATTTAAGACTAAAGCAATACAAGGAGAGACAGGGCTGTGGCAGTGACACCATTTCATCACCACCATATTTAATATATTAATCAGATGAACAATATATTGACAACCAACAGCATGAGAAAGAAACAGTAAAAGTCTATCCAAGAAGAAGAAGGCTCCTATTTTTGGTATATTAAATCTTTAGTGAGACATCTTCCAGTATGTAGAGCCAACTAGTAAGACTGGATGGAAATGGAAGAACCAGGCCTACTAATATCACTTGGATAGAAAGTAGTATGAAATCTGAAATGACTCTTCAATTACAAATTTTAGAAAGGCCAAGAAATATTCTTAAAGCTTTACCTATCTAAGGTTTTAATTTTTCAGTACAAGCTGTCTGATTGATAAAGTCACAAGGAAGAGAGAAATGTGACAAGTCCCTGAAAAGCACTTCCCTTTAAATACAGACAACCTAATACAAAGAAAAGAAAAAGAAAAAAACTGAATATGCAACACACAAATAACCAAAAGAAAACATCTGTATCTTAAAATCAAAAAGAACCCTCCAGTGGAAATCCAAAAATAGTAATAATGATAATAAATAAATTAAAAAGAAACAGGATGTGTTAATATCATCTACAGTAAAACTGGTATAACCCAAATGTCAAGATACATAATCAACTGCAAGAACATAAAAACAAAGGTGTTGCCTACCTGTCTGTGCTGCTGGACCCGGACAGTTGCAGCATAGCGTGATGGATGAGCATCCATAGATCCTACTACGGCTGCAATGGACGGCTTCTTATTATCACCCGCTGGTGGATGAGTTACATCAGCACCCAGGAAGATCACAGGCTCATTGAACACTTTTGGTCTGAAACAGAACAAATACACTAAATTTCCTCATACTACTGTTGCAAACAGCATACAAACTCACCAACCATGTAACAAGGAACACCTGTTTATCATATTCAAAGAGAAGATTCAAGATTTCCAAATTAAATATAAACATCATAGACTTCTTTCCAATCCTAATACTCTACCTGATGCCTGGAACAAGAATGGAGTTGATGCCTCCCAACTTCACATTTATTTTGAGACAGAGGTTGGACAGTGTTTGCGGTGAGGTTTTGTTCACATTCTTGGCCTGGACACATTGGGTAGCCATTCCTAAGACCGTGTCACCCACACGCTTCACTTCAGCTGTTGCAAAAAGAAAAGAGAAAGGAAATTAAGTCACTGTTGAGCAGGGCTTTGCAACACAAGAGAGGAGCTTACGTATTTGTTCAGTGTATTGTGCAGATATCATTTTTACTTACATCCATGCGCTCTGCACCACCCTCTAACCAAGTGCAAGTATTAAAATAAAGGAAGTGGTTAGGGTAAGGCATGGCACTAAAACACTTGCTCATTTGAGGAACTGCTATTCTGGACCAAACGTAAAAAAAAAGAAAAAAAAAAGAAAAAGGAAAATCCTCCAAAAGACCTCTAAATCTGAATGAGGAATCCCCAAGAAACGTGAAATATTCATTCTTCTCTTCTTAGCCTATTACTAATATCTACTATATTTCAAAAAGTCATGACAATACCAAACTATACTAATGAAACATCCTCAGCACCTTACCATAGACAGGAGTTTTGCCTGGTAGAACAACACATACAAGCTGCAGACCGGTGAATGTGCTCTTCAGGTAACGGAACATGGGCTCTACCTGGTCAGGACCGTTGGCATACTTGCAGAAGCACGGCTGGCCAATGATGGGCATGCCTGGAGGGAATCACGTCAAATGGATCTTTCGGTGGAAGACACTTTTAGCCATCAAAGAGGCTGTTGTAAAACTACTTGGGGTGGGGGGAGGGAGTGACTTTGGAGTAAAAATCTTGGAGCAATGGACCATCTAGCCTCAGAAAATTTCTAGAACAAACTTAAGAACAGCAAGAAATAAAGAAAAGGAGAGGACTGAATTGCAGCCAATACTGGGAAAACTAAGATTTCATACGCAAATAGATTACAAACAGCCTCTCACACTCAGAATGTTGTCTGTATATATATAAAAAAAAGTTATAAAAAAAAAAAAAAAGGGAATCACGTCAAATGGATCTTTCGGTGGAAGACACTTTTAGCCATCAAAGAGGCTGTTGTAAAACTACTTGGGGTGGGGGGAGGGAGTGACTTTGGAGTAAAAATCTTGGAGCAATGGACCATCTAGCCTCAGAAAATTTCTAGAACAAACTTAAGAACAGCAAGAAATAAAGAAAAGGAGAGGACTGAATTGCAGCCAATACTGGGAAAACTAAGATTTCATACGCAAATAGATTACAAACAGCCTCTCACACTCAGAATGTTGTCTGTATATATATAAAAAAAAGTTATAAAAAAAAAAAAAAAAAAAAAAAGGAAAATCCTCCAAAAGACCTCTAAATCTGAATGAGGAATCCCCAAGAAACGTGAAATATTCATTCTTCTCTTCTTAGCCTATTACTAATATCTACTATATTTCAAAAAGTCATGACAATACCAAACTATACTAATGAAACATCCTCAGCACCTTACCATAGACAGGAGTTTTGCCTGGTAGAACAACACATACAAGCTGCAGACCGGTGAATGTGCTCTTCAGGTAACGGAACATGGGCTCTACCTGGTCAGGACCGTTGGCATACTTGCAGAAGCACGGCTGGCCAATGATGGGCATGCCTGGAGGGAATCACGTCAAATGGATCTTTCGGTGGAAGACACTTTTAGCCATCAAAGAGGCTGTTGTAAAACTACTTGGGGTGGGGGGAGGGAGTGACTTTGGAGTAAAAATCTTGGAGCAATGGACCATCTAGCCTCAGAAAATTTCTAGAACAAACTTAAGAACAGCAAGAAATAAAGAAAAGGAGAGGACTGAATTGCAGCCAATACTGGGAAAACTAAGATTTCATACGCAAATAGATTACAAACAGCCTCTCACACTCAGAATGTTGTCTGTATATATATAAAAAAAAGTTATAAAAAAAAAAAAAAAGAAAAAGGAAAATCCTCCAAAAGACCTCTAAATCTGAATGAGGAATCCCCAAGAAACGTGAAATATTCATTCTTCTCTTCTTAGCCTATTACTAATATCTACTATATTTCAAAAAGTCATGACAATACCAAACTATACTAATGAAACATCCTCAGCACCTTACCATAGACAGGAGTTTTGCCTGGTAGAACAACACATACAAGCTGCAGACCGGTGAATGTGCTCTTCAGGTAACGGAACATGGGCTCTACCTGGTCAGGACCGTTGGCATACTTGCAGAAGCACGGCTGGCCAATGATGGGCATGCCTGGAGGGAATCACGTCAAATGGATCTTTCGGTGGAAGACACTTTTAGCCATCAAAGAGGCTGTTGTAAAACTACTTGGGGTGGGGGGAGGGAGTGACTTTGGAGTAAAAATCTTGGAGCAATGGACCATCTAGCCTCAGAAAATTTCTAGAACAAACTTAAGAACAGCAAGAAATAAAGAAAAGGAGAGGACTGAATTGCAGCCAATACTGGGAAAACTAAGATTTCATACGCAAATAGATTACAAACAGCCTCTCACACTCAAAAAAAAGTAAAAGTTGCTCAATGAGGATGATGAGAGTTGTGCTGCCTTGTAGAATCTTCTCACTGAGTGGAAATCCAAGTGCGGGCCGCCGCGTGCTTCGCCCCACAGCGCATAGTGAAGCAGTGTCTTTGCAGTCTTTGAGAGAGCTTTTCCTTGTAAAGATCATGAGAGGCAATGCCAAGGCATGTCTTATAACCTCTGTACTATGTTCAAAGGAAATTCAATCAAACTGAACAAGACTTTAAAGAAAGAGAAAGGAAAAAACAGGAAAACTGAATGTATGTATTCCCCTTTACCCATACACAAGAAATTAAGAAATCAAAATAAAATAAAGTACAGTAAAGAAATACAAAAGGAATAAGTTGTCTGTAACCTCTCTGATGACGGAACGAAGAAATGGGTTCTACAAACTATTTGCAAAGACCTACTCAACACAGACTTGATTGCTCTTCCTCCCACCCTTACAACTTACCAGCATCATTACTAATCTTTTGTAGTTGCTGTGTAAAATTGCGCAGCGCATCTTCTCTCACTGTGCGCTGTGGGGCGAAGCATGCAACGGCCCACACGCGGATTTCTACCCCTGTGAAGAACTGTTTCCCCCTCATGTCCCACACCCCCTGGTTGGGCAGAGCTTGCTGCTTTGTTCGCCCTCCATATTGGAGCTTTGGGGGTGGGAGTACGCGGCCTCGGACCTGGAGGAATAGAAAACACGTTCTCCCATTAGACACACGTTATCCACTACGAACTGAAACAATATACATGTGGTTCATGAGTGGCAAGTAAGCAATAAGGGCAATATGGCAAAATTATCTCAAGACAGCAATGCTACATAAAAAGAATAATAACAATAATAATAAAAATAAACAAATCTCTGTACAATCATTAAAAGGACATACAAAAACAAGCACTTAAAGAAAATGCTGCCATGTTTCGGATGAACAATGGCCACACACAACTCGGAAATAAGGCAAATGATGTATCACGTGTCTTACCTTACACTTTGCTTTCCTTGATAATATGAATAAATTTCAATTTATCATATAGAGATCTTCATATACGTGATACTTGTTCAGAGTAAGAGAGAGAGAGGGAGGGAGGGAGGGAAGGAGGGAGAGAGAGAAAAAGAAGGAAAAAATAATGAACAGCCAGAGAAACAGATAGAAAGAAAGTGAGAGAAGATACAGAAAAGAAACCCACTGTGGCATTTCTTACCAGAAATATATACACTTTCTTCTTTACAACATCCACTTCTTTTGAAAGATTACATTCTCTAACACTAATAGGAAGTAGTGAGAAGTAACAGCCCCCTGCAACCTGCTTACCTCCATCATAGCTGTACTGATCGTCAGACCAAATTCTTGCATGTACGGGTCATTGTTAAAGTCCGCCTTTCGGACCAGATTGTTGATCTCTCTCTCCCTATCCGGTGCAGATCTAGCTGTTGCCTTGATCATGGTAGATGTCTGCATGTCTGTTAGTTTCTTGATGCATCGTTGTCCAGGTACAATGTTGCATACTTCCAGAGGAAGGTATGTGTGTTTGTGTTCTTGTCCCACCTAAAGAAATATAAAAAAAAAAAGCTCTTTCTGTTAAATAACACTGCTATAATTACTTAAAGTCTAGAAGTTAAAATAATACTTAAAATTCTAACCAAAAACTAGTTATATGATAATTGTAACAATAATAATTTAATCCTTTCAGTAATAAGAATAACTAAAGTAATAAAATGTCAACAAACAACCCAAATAACATGAATGATATCAAATGTATCCATAGAAACAAAAGGGTTACACACAATCTAGATGGAGAACTTATTCACCTACACCTAGTATTTTACACAAAAGTGGAACTCACCTGAAGGCAAGGTAGATGGGGGAACCTGAGTTTCATTTTGTATTTGTCAAGGAAATATTTTGCAACAGTACATTCCACAGTCTGACCATTCTCTAGCTGCAATGGGAACCTGAAGAGAGTAGAATTGAATTAATTGAGAGCAAACTGACTTCAACAACTGCAAAATGACCCTACTGAAACAATGTGAAATTCAATCCTCACTTAGAAGCAAATGCCATCAACCTGTCATCTCTTGGAGTGTTCAATAAGGGTTGGGGAGGAGGGGAGGGGGAGTTAAACAGAACAGATGAATTCTCAAAAGAGATTGAGGACCTGCTAACATTTACTTATAATATCTAAGCAAAATGGCATATTTCTTATCTTATCAAAAGGGTACACAGGCAAGTGGTTGATGTCATATCTTCACAGGAAAAATTCAAGACATGCCACATGGATCAAAATACAAGTACATTCCCTCAAGTACAGGTTGAGGGATGTTACTCTTAGCAAAACTTTCTCTTTTCTTATTCTTTTAGAGAGGAGACTAACAAACATGTGAATACACAAGGCAAAAAAAAGTTAATATAAAATCAATAATAAAATGCATGACACAAAACTTGTTCAACTTTACAAGGCAAACATCTTTTAACAACAAGACCTTAAATAACCATAAAGCAAGTTCTCATCATAAATCCTTTCCATGGTTTCAGGAGCAGCACTACACTTGAAACACAAACAAGCACAAAAGCCCACAACTTACGACTGCATCTGTGCTGGTCTTCTTGTGACATTACACACCCTGTACTTTCTTCGCATCGCACCGCAGTGTGTGATCTCAATCTGAGGAGTAAAGAGGATACAGGTTTCAAATCAATATCCTGTTTTTCAAAGGAAAGTAAGTGTACAATTTCAACTTTCTCAGATGACTAAAATATATACTTCAAAAACAATAATAAAGGATAGATACAACCTTTACATACATACAAACATACATACATACATTACATTCTTCGCATCGCACCGCAGTGTGTGATCTCAATCTGAGGAGTAAAGAGGATACAGGTTTCAAATCAATATCTTGTTTTTCAAAGGAAAGTAAGTGTACAATTTCAACTTTCTCAGATGACTAAAATATATACTTCAAAAACAATAATAAAGGATAGATACAACCTTTACATACATACAAACATACATACATATATGTACATGCATACATCCTTACATACACAGTGAATGTATTTTTATAATTTACCTTCAGACCCTTAATTTCTTTTGTGAACTTGACACGCTGGGAATCTGTTAGAGGTTTCCTCTGCTCACCTATTTCTCGAATATCTAACACTTCACACATAAACTCTATTACTGCCTGGGCTTTGTAAAATGCTGTAGCTGACACTGTAGAAAAAAAAAAAAAATTATATATATGATCATTTGTACAATTCATTATTCTATCAAGATCAAAAGCAGTAAAAACGTGAATCATGGCATCTTTTCTCCTACAATAATTCCTCAAAATTCAATACTACATAAATAGGCAGAAACCTTACCGTCAATGTTAAGCATCATCTTCCATTGTGAAGGTCTTACACTTTGATGGAAGCCAAACCACACTTCCCGTCCACCTCCCAAGGGGTGATAATAGCCATCTGGAGCGGAGAAGAAGGACCGGCCCACTGGTGTGTACGTCATGGATGGCAGATGACGCATGACGACATCTAGTGCCTGATGGAAAAAAAAATTCACTCAAATCATGGTAACAGTGAGTCTAATGGTACAGTTTGGGTATAAGACTGACAAGTGTAATATTTTTTTTACAGTTAAACCACACAAATTAGAGATATAAGAATCGAAACCCACCTGTATTGCATCATAAGGAATGGTTCTCGTCCGTCCCTCCAATGCTTCTTCTAACGTATATAAATTTACTTGTGCTAACCATTTCATCGCTACCTTGAACACCCTGTCACGTCCTTCCCCTGGTAACGTTACCTGTGAAAAATAGACAAGCGATGAGTAACACATTACTGGAGCTAGAACATTGAAAGTTCAACACTGTCATATGCATAATTAGGGATTATTTCATTTAACAGTGCATTTCAATCAATAATCATTACTCACCTCAAGCTCCATTTTTTCATTACCAATGGGCAGGGGATCTCTGGTGTATAAATTGCTTCTCCCATCGAACACAGGCTACAGAAAAAAAAGAAAAATCATCTTCATCAATATAATTTATGAAAATACCATAGGCCTATGGAGTTTAGCAGCATATATACACATGCAATCACTCAAACAAATAAATAATCACATACATACATTACAAAAGATATCCAAAACCACGAATGAAAACAATCAAAAATATTCCCACACATACCTTTAGAGTGCCAAAAATTCTAGGGAAAGCATGAACCATCGTCTCAATAATTTCCCGATTAACCTTGCGCGGGCATTTATCAGGGGTAATACTAATATCATAGTGGTGAATGTAACCTCTTGGCATAGAGATCTGGAAGTGATTGGCCCGCAACGTGATAGGTCGACCTTCTCGCCCGAGATTCGGTCTTCTTGGTGCTACAAAAGCTGGTGTGTCAAAAGAAAAGAACAGAGAATCAGATGCAAGTAAATTCTACCTGGAATACTGAAGAGAGCTGTAATCAGTAAGTTGTGATGGAAAGTGACAAACTAGTACTATCAAGATACTAACTCAAACCCTGATCATAAGGCTCAGACTTGGACACTTAACCCAACTGAACCATGTACCAGGCTACATGCACAGTCAGCTGCTCAAGTGCAAAATACAAAGTGTGGGAACACATGTTTATACCCACTTGGAGCAGGCTGACTATGCATGATGTGGATCTTTGCTACCCAGTATTTAGGTTCAGTTCATTAAAGCATTGATGGCTAACAATCACCAACGAAGTTGTCTTATTAAAAAAAATCCTTACAACTCATCTTTGATCAGAACATAAAAAATCTACCAATGAAAAAATGTCTAGACATTTAATTTTGCTTTCCTCCCGCTGGAGGAGCCCCCAGGAGCCCTGGGAGGACAACCACACTTCAATACTTACTAGGTAGTTCTGGCGGTAAGAGGGCAGTCATGCCTGTCCCTGTTGCCACAGCTGGCGTACCAGGGGCTTGCGGTACAATGGTAGTGATGGGGCCAGGGACCGCTGTGGGTCCCGGCGGCAAGGTCAAGGGTCGGGGCACTGGGGGGCCAGCTGGTCCTGGGGGTCCACCCGGACCCGAGGGACCGGGTGGGCCAGGAGGACCAGGTGCTGCAAGGAAAAGAGTAGTCGTAAATATAGATAGATATGTAATGTCCCTCTATCCAAAATATCTGCTATATGACACTAAATTGAGAAGCTATTTTGTTATGAGAAAAAGTAGAGGCGATATGAAAGCCTCATGTGACCACACCCAAATTCTCTCCAGATTCTTGGAAATCAAAAACATGCCAGTTACAACCTCTTTCCTCAATACTAATATCACTTTTTTTATATGTAAAGATTTCTAAAAATTCTCATACTAAATCTTTAAAAAAAAAGAAGGACATACAAATATACAAATTTCAATCTCAAATAAATCAGTTTTATTGACAAGAATGTCCATTTTTCTGCAAGTGCACTGCTCTGACCTTCAAATAGTTTCCTGACTGAATCCCTAAATAGTATTCAGTCCAGGCTTCAATGCTGTAATCAATGCATTCACCAAGTACAAGCTGCACTCACAAAACCTAGCTACCACACCCAGCCATTCCTCCCCACTTAAAATAATCAAGAATAAACACTTGCCACAATAACACAACACCACACTACCTCCCCCCCTCATAATAGCTATGAAAAAATCTAGTTCTAAAAACTGCCCAAGCAAAATAAACAATTGTCGACTATATTAAACAAATTCTAGCCATTACTCCACAATGACAATGGGATAAAAAAAAAAAAAAAAAAAAAAATACTTTCATTCAGATCTTTAAAGTTTCCATTAAATCAAATGTATAATAAAAGACCTTTGAAGAAATAACTGACAAATCCAATAATCCCCAACTTCCCAACACTTCAATTAAACAAACATGTAAAGTACAATTTTCATGCAATGTTCTGTATTGTACACCTGTTCATCAGTATGTGGCAGGAATTAGTAACATTGCTTGGATTTTTCTTTTAAGAGCCCCTAGGTCATAAGGTGACCAGTTCTATATATTTTCAAATGATTATATTAATCTACAGAAGCATTCCACATATGAATACCTGTATCTCTGGTTTACTTTACTGTAATCACAAAAGTTGCTCCTTATATACAATGCTTGAAAGCAGACTTCCACTGGTCTTGAATTGGTAATTTGGCAACCCTAGCTCTTTAATGTCCCAATAAGTTTGACAGTTATACTTTAAAATGACAGGTTAAGTCCAGCTACTATAAAGGCCAATATATATTTCTCTAAAATAAATATATGAAGTAAGCTGCATTCCCTTAATGAATTGGTTTGCCAAGTATTTCCACAATCTCTTGCCGGAGAATGCAAACAATCTCATGACTACTGTTATGGGCAATGCAATCCTATTCTAGCTCTTTCATTGCAATCAAAAGAAGGAAGATGTACATAAACACTGTTTTTGTATTTAGAATCAGGGTGACTGCAAAATATTGGTATACCATTATTATAATTATTACCAAGATATTCTAATGGGGTGTCTTTCTTGTATATTTTAGTGGTACAACTGTAACTTGGGTTATTTCTATTTTTGTTTTTTATTACCAAATGTGCCATTCAGTGAAAATCTTTCCAATAAAATTCATTTTAAAAATCAAAGCTGGTTATCATCATAATGTAACCTACTACTCAGGCTTTTACAAAAGCTATTTACATTATCCACAGCAAGAGTAAAAATTCATATTTATCATATTCTAATGAAAATTAAGATGAAAATGCATGCACACAAACAAACACACTACACAAACAAATACATGAATTGTGATGTAGGCATACTGAGAAATACAGTATTAAAAAAAGTTGCTTTGGTTAAGTGACATTTGCTTTACTTGGCTATATCAAAAAATCTATTTCATCATCTTACTGATGCTAAAGCCCCCCCCCCACACACACACACACATTCTAGTCAATTTTCTTGAATTAGTTGCCTCCAAAAGTACTTACATCACCAGGAATTAGATTACTAGGCCTACCTGACCTCACTCACCCAACCATTACCTCAACCTGTTTACCCCAAAGTGAGATTACGTAGGCTTGTTATAGATTCCTTGGTGACTAAGTGCTATTGGAGCCATCTCTGTTTAAACGGAATTAACAGCAATGAAATCACAGCAGACAGTGCATGTGCCCAATGCCATCAGGATGAACAATTTGTCTATACTTCAAAAAACCAGGTTTACTAATCTCAGTATCTACCATTTCAAGACTAGGATCTTCAATAATTATGTCTCATTTGACATTTCACTTTGCA